TAAACAGCAACACCGCGGAAAAACGTCTGCGCATGCGTCAACCTTACCTGTAATAGTATTGCGAACTTGATGAGAAGCTGTTCCGAACGTTTCCAAAGGCTCAAAATGGCGGTAAAAAGGAGTGACTTCATTGTGCGTCTTTACAGCCAGATTTCGAGCGCAAAAATAAACATGTCATTCTAAAAACTGGGAATAAATACAGCCAGAAGGTTCAAGAAATTGTATTGTACAAGAACATGAACTAAAGGTGATTGTTGACAAATTTATCGTCTGAAACATTTTGTTTATCAACTAAGCAAGGACAATTTCCGAATTTTCGTTTGAGATACATTTCTTTAAAAAAAAACTGTGTCGCCAAATATAAAAAATTTTCGTGTTCACAATAATTAAACTTTAGGATTTATTCTACAATTTGAGTGGGTTAAGAAGCTTAACTTTTCGAGAGTTTTCTTAACTTTTGAGTTTGAATTTTTGTTTTGAATAATTTTGCAAAAATTTTCGAAGTCGTGTCCGTTAAAATCAACAATTTTTACATGAATTATATTTCATTCCATACTTTAAATGCCAGGACGCTTTCAATTAATGTCTAGTCTACCCATTTGCTATATTTTCTCGTTTGTTTTACTAATTTTTGACCAATTAATAAGCATGTTTTTGTTTTAGAAATTGATATTCAAATTCCCCGCCATATTTTCATAATTTGGTGCATGCGCAGACGTTTTTCCGCAGTGTTGCCTAAGCCACAATGTAACATGCGCAGTGGCGGAAACTTGAGGGTGCGAATTTTGATTGCCAACACATGTTAATCCTGTTGTTTGCTACAAATCCGAGTTCATAATTTTCCTTATTTCTCGTAACTTTCGAATTTTCCACCTTACGTTTCCCACTACTTTCCACTTTTCGACATTTTTTTCCATATTTTTCTTTTATTTTTCCATATTTTTCTTTCTATATATATATATATATATATATATATATATATATATATATATATATATATATATATATATATATATATATATATATATATATATATAATTTGGATGGACCGAAGTTACATCAAAGATTCGTCCATGACATGTTGAAAGATAATTACTAAACTAGAAAGAATAAGTTTTTTTGTAAAATTATTGAACGAAATGCTAATAAATACTTGCCCATTATAAAGCTAATAATATACATAAAGATATTACTCGACTGTGATTGGTTGATTTCGGTGCAGTTAATCCCAAACAGCAGTGCAATTTTCTGTAATCACAGTGCAATTTTCTGTAATCACAGTGCAATTTTCTGTAATCACAGTGCAATTTTTTGTAATCACAGTGCAATTTTCTGTAATCACAGTGCAATTTTCTGTAATCACAGTGCAATTTTCTGTAATCACAGTGCAATTTTTTGTAATCACAGTGCAATTTTCTGTAATCACAGTGCAAAAATCTGTAACAAACTAATCTGATTGGTGGAAAAACATTGTGATGATTAAATCAACCAATCAGTTTAAAGCAATTTAGTTTAAAGAAGTAACGGTCACAGATTGCTTCAAAACAAAACAAACATGGCGCCGCGCTACGGTAAAGTAAAAGTTGCTTTCGCGTGAAAAATATGGCTTTTGTCTTTATTTTTAAATGGAAAAGCATTGACCTTAAACAAGACTAACAAAAATTACATAGTTGAGTGGAATTTTCAAGCTGTTAGCGTTGCATAATGTGATATAACAAAGCCAGGAAAAGTTTGCCGGTGGAATGTTCGCTATAAACGCGTAAGTTAAAACTACAATTGTCTCGAACATTTTTATGTAAATTATTAATACGTAATAGCACGGTTTCTCGTGAAATTTGGATAAACATGCACTCGTGAGTTTTTCAAAGACATCAAATAGCACTCGTCCTTCGGACTCGTGCTATTTTGAGGTCTTTGAAAAACTCACTCGTGCATGTTATATCCAAATTGAAGTCGAAACCATGCTATTACCTATACTAAACGCTCATCTCTTTATGACAATAATCAGTATTACTACAATTACTCTATGGTTTCCGTGTTTGGATGGCCTGATCCAAACACGCGGGAATGTTGCGAGAATTAAGAACGTTCTTAACTCGAGCAACAACTTTCTGACAATTCTGTGTTAAAATTTCACTTTAAAAAACTTTTACTTTAAATTTCCGTGTTTGGATGGCCTGATCCAATTCATCCAAACACAGGTTTCGACCAATCAGAGCACACGTTATATACATGTTATTTTATAAACATCTTTAAATCGGTTTCTAGAGTGCTGTTAAACTATCTGGCGTAGTGGTGATAAAGAATCCGAGTTGCACCGGTAATAATTCGCGCATTTTTGCTCTCGCACGAGTGTCTCTCTCCATTTCCACTTTCTAGATAGATGGACAGAATATTTCATTTCAACAAGGTAGCCTAATCAGCACAATGGCTGGTATCCATAGCCATAGGGACCCCACATATAATAGAATTTGCCTACCACTACATTAAAATATCTACAATTGTTTACGTTTAAAATCCAAAGTATGATTACAATATCAATATATATATATATATATATATATATATATATATATATATATATATATATATATATATATATATATATATATATATATATATATATATATTTAACAAATATAAAACATTTTCCGTGTTGATATACAGTTATATCAACACGAGTGGAATTGGGAAAACGAGAAATTGTATGGAAAGACGACGACCGAAGGGCGGAGTGTTTTCATACAATTTCGAGTTTTCCCAACTTCCACGAGTGTTGATATAACTTTATATTAATACGGAAAAAATGTTTTATATTTTTTTATAATATAGCAATGTCAAAAGCCCGAAAGATAAGAAAAATTTCCGTGTTTACAAGCGGTGAAAAATTTCCCGTGTTGACATTGAGTTATGTCAACACGGCTCTTAGCCAATCAGCGTTCAGAATTTACAAATGCTATATTATATATATATATATATATATATATATATATATATATATATATATATATATATATATATATATATATATATATATATATATATATATATATATATATATATATATATATATATGCTAATATTGGCCTAGAAACAATGTTTTTGGTTCAGATGCTTAAAGTTCCGGTTCCTTACAAAAAAATCACTTAGATATATTGGAACCAAATCATTTAGGCACTTAAAAACTTAGCTAAAGTGCGTTTATGCATATTTGTACGAGTAGCTACATCTACCACTAGACCTAAATTAATAACTAAAATTCATCTCAGTAGTCATGAATGTCTTGTCTGGAAACCATCTCGTTACACGATTGCTGCAACCATAACAGACAAAGTGATGGCGGCAAGGGTAAAATATAGCTCTAAGTAACACATTCGACCTCACAAAAGTAGCAATTATCCATAAAGATTGCACGAACCACAAGGACTGAAGCACTACTACAGTGTCAGTAGACAGCACACTTTTCG